TAAATTATTATTAACTGTAGTCACCCTATTATACTGTTGAACACTAGATCTTACTAACTGTATTATTGTACCCATTAGCCAACCTCTCTTTATCCTCCCCTCCCCACTACCCTCTGAGCTTCTGGTCACCGTCATGCTCTCTAGCTCCGTGAGAGCACTTTCTTTTTTTTTTTAGCACCCACATAAAAATAAGAACATGCAATATTTGTCTTTCTGTGCCTGGCTTATTTCACTTAATATAATATCCTCTAGTTCCATCCATGTTTTTGCAAATGATAGGATTTCATTCTTTTTTATGCCTGAATAATGTTCCATAGTGTACATGTACCACATTTTCTTCATTCATTCATTTATGGGCACTTACGTTTATTCCATACTTTGGCTATTGCAAATATTGCTGCAGTAAATGGGAGTGCAAATATCTCCTAGATATACTGATTTCCTTTCATTTTTATATATACCTAGCAGTGGGATTACTGGATCATACGGTAGTTCTATTTTTAGTTTTTTTGAGGAACCGCCATACGTTCTCCATAGTGGCTTTACTAATTTACACTCTTAGGTGTTCTCCTTTCTCCACATACTGGCCAGCATCTGTTGTTGCCTGTCTTTTAACTGGGGTAAGATGATGTCTCATTGTAGTTTTGAGTTAGCAAATTCTTAGTCTTGATTAATATATTTTTTTTTTTAGTCAAAATTTTCAAGTTATTTTAATTAGCTGGCTTTTTTTTTTGTTGTTGTAGTTTACTTTCATCCTTAAGTGTGTGTTGCCCGTCTTGATTGTATTGATCTTTAAACTACACTGGATCACAGTATGTTTGATATCCTCTAAAGTTCAGTTTTTACTTTAGACTTCTGTGATTAAAGGCAGTAAGATTTATTTATATTTAAGAAATCTTTGTTTTATTTGTAGTTGGTACTGTGTGTGTGCTTGTGTACCTAGAGGATGTGCAACTTGAAATAAAGTTGTCTTCTGAGAGTTAAATTATAAGCTCATATGTAGTACAAAGCAGAGCTGCTCAAAATCTGAAAGAAAAGACCAACTCTATGGACAGAGTGAGATGTGACTATTACTCTGTTAAACATATTTAAAGGAAGTTGAGTCAATTGGAAGGCAACTTGTTCTGCAATAAAAGTGAGGAAAAAGGATCCCAATTTCTATGCTGTCCATTGGAGAATTGATCTTGTCAAGGTCACCCAAACA